GTCTTCCTAAAGGTTGTGGGAATGCTCACATTAGGAGCCCAAAGACAAACACGGAATTGTGGCACATTCTAAGGACAAAAACTTGTAGCTGCAGTTTGTTGGACTAACGCTGAAGGTATCCTAATTTGGGGCTTGGGGTTCAGGGTCTGGGGTTCGGCATTTTGTGATTGAGACTGTGGACTTCTTTCTGCTTTTTGCGAGGGACCGTGACGAGCGACACTTGAAGCACGCAAGGGCGCTTTTCAAGCACTTTGGATGAAAGGGGTTACACATTCGCTGGCTCTAAAACACATGACGGAATGCGGTTCACAGCTCCCTTGCATTGCTTGGATTTCGAGCTTGAGGTCCAGGATGCCAGACCGGTGCTCCAAGACCCCCATGGTTTCCTTGGGGCCTTGGGCCTGCATTCCACAAAATGTGTCCATTACATAATCGTTGTTAGTGAGTCTCTTCGAAGGACCTTGTTGGGGATGATCTCCAGGATTCTGTAGCCTCCACATTGATAGTCAAGGTGGTAGGGGGATTTGGGATCCTGATCAAGGCTTAACTTTCACACAGAGTCACCTGCAGTAGCATGCTTCAGGGTAGCAGGCGTTGACACCCCGCACTAACAGCAATTCTGGTGCGAAATCATTTTGCTTCAAGAGCAAATGTTACAGCCCTCAAATCGAAGGCGTCACCATTTCGTCTAAAACGGTACGGACAAGTTTACACTCTTGGACTCACACCCAACTCTGAGCCTGTAGGCGACCACCAGAAATCCACGCTGGATCGAGAGATTGAGGATGTCATGGCAATGGCAAAGGTGCCTTGCCTCGCAAGAAACAAGAAACATCGCAATTTTGCATGCTTCAGACCAGCTGACAGCTGAGATTTGCTGTTTCGAGACACAACCTCCAGCGAAGATTAGTCAGCAAGTCATGCCTGGAATACCCATGTCTAGTTCGTACAGGCAAGATACAGAGGCATATAGCTGCCAGAATTGTCAGCCCATCGCGTCCAAGCCCTGGGCCCTAAGACATTCCCTCGAAGCTTGATGCAGAACTTTCAAGACCAAGAAAAGCTTTGAGTAAGATGGAGTGCGCTACCAAGAGATTTTGTGTACTGCAGCTAGCCATCTTCATGATGTCAGTGAGTCTTGTTGAAGCGATGCTTACGGGCGATAATCTCAGAATTGCGCAGAAATCCACGGAATGTTGCATCTCAATCAAAGCAGAAACCTTGTACAGATTGAGGTGACGCACAACGAAGTCAACCCCAAGAACGGGCCTGCAAAGAACACATGAGACCGTTTTGGCCTGACTCTTCCCAAAGCGCTGAGGTTGCATTAAAGATTGTACCGTACCAGCACCTAGCTTTGAGGTGGATAGCTTGGCCACGCTGGGACTGGGCCCTGCATCGATCGAGGTGCATAAGGTCACTGGAGGAGCTTGGGTGGCAAGGTTTTAAGCTTTTGCTACGCCTGGCAATGATAGAAAGAATAGTGATTGAGCAGGTGACACTCCCACTTGTCGCCAGAATGGTATTTACGAAGCAAATCATACATGTCCTGCTAATCAAGGGAACATGCACGGCTGCTTAAGTGTTGGGACGCCCTCCATTGACGCAGACTCCTTGCTGTACGGAATGAATCTTTGGCGTTACCATACGAATTCAAAATAGGGGCCTTAGGAGCTCCTACTGGAAGATCATTCGAATGCACTGCAAAAAATTGAAGCTGCGAAGCGCAACCCTCAAATCACTCAACCCCAAGCTTTTGAGCCCCAAATTCCCATGCCACAAATGACCCTAAGACCATTGGCCTGGCCTGCCGCGTTGAACCCAAGCTAAGACTCAGGAAGATCCTCGCTTCAGAAGTCGCACTTCGAAGCTTTGCACAAAGACCTGAGTCTACCGCATAGCACAGGAGGGACTGTCATGGATTAGCCCAATAAGGAGTACTGGATTTCGGTGCAACACTGGCAATCATGATGGTGATAGTAGTCGGGGAGCGCAAAGAATCGCGATCACCCAAGCAGGAGTAGTCATCGTTTTCAGTACAGCACGAACAGGTCTGCACTGTAGCCAGAGGAATAGCAATAGCAGCAGCAGTAGCGACAGCAGCCGTAGCGGTAGAGACGGTAGCTGCTGTGGTAGCGGTACACTTTCACAACAGTGATTGGAAAATTCCACATTTCGATCGGGGTTGTGCAGAGGCGGGTTGCGGTCCGCGACAGTCAATACAACAGAGAACCCTGCCTTTTGTGGATGTGCATTGGCACCGGAGGTTCAGTGTGCATGCTTTTGGCAGGAGACTACTCTGAACCTCCTTCTAGCGTGGTGAGCCGGGCGGCGACACCTCGAAGTGATGCCTGTCGCTGAAAGCATGGGTTTGGAGTTTTGTGTCAGACACGTTGAAGACTCACCCATAAGTTTCCTGACAGGTGCTTCATGCTTCTGTCAATGTCTAGGGCCAGGAGCCCTGAGGACGAGGTTCAACTCCTGCATCTCAAAGGCCACGCATGCACTATAACCACTTGAATGCAACCACGTGAACGGAAGCTCCTTGAGCTAATACTCGTTTGGCGCCATCCGCCCACCAGCCGTTCATGGCTGCACAACTCCAAGGAGATCGCCCCGCCTTCCACATCCCTGCGCAGTCCACAATCAGAGCCTGTTTCTTGGATCATTCGAAGAATTTCAATTCAGGGGCTTTGCCTTTCATGATGGGGCTTTTGCTGCCTGCCTTGTCGTCAATACCTTCAGTTAAAGGTCCAAGTATTGAAAACAAAGTCGGCTTCAACCTCGGGCTTTGCATTTCTGGCCTTGAGCAGGGGCTCATGAACCGGAGAAAGCCTCGGGACCCTTCCAGCCCAGCATGAAAATGAAGGTTCAAAGGCAGCGGACCTTGCAGCGAACAACCAACCATGACTTCTCGATCATGAAGGTGCGGCCGCGACGTTGTGCATATAGAACTTCATGGTGTGGGCAGCTCAAAAATTTAGGTTCTTCGGGCTAGGTTGCCTATGGCTTTGGAGATTTTGGGGTGGGGCTTTCGCTAAGATATGACCGCAGCGCGAAAGAGGGGTCTTAGCTGTCGCGTCATGTTTTGAGTGAAGACGATTTGTTGCGAATTTTACTTTGGTTGCCTGTCGCTGTCCTTTGCGGCTATTACCGCGTGTTTCCGCCATGGACCCTGAATTTCAAAGCCTCCAACCCTAATTCCCAGTAAAATTCAGAGGGAGTTCCTCAACATAATCCCTGTAAAGCCCTGAACACAAATCCTCAGAATCTCAATGTACCCCCTGGGGGTGCCTAGCACCATGCTTTTTGAGCAACCCCAAGTAACCTCTGCATGCGCCAGGTTCAGACGGCTCATTCCAGCAAGCCATCGGCTGTGAAGCCCTGGCACCTGGAGCTTAGGGCTTAGGTACATTCGGAGTCCCTCTGAAAGATTGTGTCTCTGTTTAGGGGTTCTACAGGATTTTTTCAGGGCCTTGTTTGGCTTTGTGCAAGGGTCTTACAAAAGCTTTCGCAAAGTTGCAGGGCGATTTGTGAAGTACTTGGGATTCTACAATACAACTCCAATGGCTGTTTAAAAATTGATCGAAAATGAGAAACGTTGGCCATAAGGTTTGTTAGATCTTGTTGAAGCTTTGAAATATTGAGCGTAGCCTATGCAAAATGAATGCGCATGGTTTTGGGGCCAGGGATCAAGATGTACGGTTTCGATTTTCCCGTATGCAGGGCTCAGGCTCTTGGATTTTGGATCAAATCGGCTGAGCGCGAGCATCAGGATTCCTCACCAAGGAATGCATATGCATACTGGTGGTTCTGACAGGAATAGTCGCCTTATTGTGGTGCCGTATGTAGTTGGAGGACTAAATTTGGTGTCTCGAAGATTATTTTCGGGCCTGCGGCCTGGAAAAGAGTGCAAGGACCACAGATTAGGTCTAGGGTCTCGGAGGTCAGGACACCACCTGGCATTCGGTGCTGAGTCGAATTCTCAAGGCTCTTCGTGTTCAGGATCTTGCATATGGGCAGTTGCCATTGTTTCGCAGGGATTGGTTTGCTTGGAGGCTCAAAGCCCGGAAGGCGAGGTCAAAGAGAGCAGATAGGGGAACTGATGCTTGGGGAGACCCAGGTATGTGATAAACCCTGCGAGATGTCCCATGTCGAGCACTTGGCAGATCATTGACGCTTGGCGTCTTTTGGGATTGACGGTGAAGCTTGTCCTGGAAGAAATCCTATAATGCTATTATTACCCGTCAATATCAGTGGACAGGGGAGGATCGGGGGAAGCGCGTGCTTGAGGCTCGCACTTCAGGTTTGGGCGACGGTATGCACATGTGCTTTTAACCTGAAATATTTGACAGTTGACCGTCAGCCTTAAGCCCAAGGACCCAGCGATGGCACGCTTGCCATGCTTCATGTACCAAGGTCTGCCTTTCACTGGTCTTCGTGGCCATTGTCACACCAGTGCAGGCAGCGGACTTCCAGTCCAAAAATTGTTCTGAAGTTATCTGCGGCATGCATGATTGTTCCCCCGGCCTTCAACGCCTGTGACATAAGATACAGCTCATCAGTGTCAATACGTTGGAAAATCATCCACTCGAAGAGGAGTTTATTTTCGCTTCGAGCAGAAAATCTATTGTGGCTTGCATCTGAAGTAGTGTCATTCGCAGCCAAATTAAGGGACGCTTAAGGGTGGACATAGGGTCCCTCTTATTGACTGTAGCTCATCTGGATCTTGCAGGGTCTGATGATGCCTCATCCTTAAGATTAAACCCACATTGCAACCCTCACCCTGTCCGAACCTCAGAAACAAACCACGAGGCAGATGTTGCCCCTGCAAACCAACCGCCACGTCCCCATGAAGTTTCCTTGAGAGGAGCTAGGAGCACCTGGAAGTGCCACTTGCTTGCCTCCCTCTAGACCCTGTAACATTATTTGGATCCCAATCCGAGCTCATACATACACCGTCAGTCGCAAGGCCAAAAGCGCAAACCCCAAACTCTCAGGTGTGTCTCTTGCGCGTGCAGTACAATGCGACCTTTTTCATGAGCTTTCTGGTTGACTTCATCTTCTTCGTTGACGCTTGCTCGCCCTTAAGAGCACACCAGCATGTCGGGTCGGTAGTTTTCAAAGAGCCGAAAGGTTTTGCGCACATGCCGGATAGAACAACAAGAGGTGAAGTTGCGCTGAAACCCTTCCTAGTGGAAGGTATAGGTTGTAGGGTCTGCCTCATATCCAAAGCGCGGTAAGTGTCAGGCGCTGCACGTAAGCCTGAGAATGATGACATTTATCTTCAGGCCAGGGCTTCAGAATTGTAATGATGGCAGAGGGGTAACAACACTAGTGGCAAAAGCTTCCAGGCAGCAAGATGGTTTGCCTGAACGACCTGCCCAAGAGGCAGAGAGAGAGAGAGGGAGACCGAGCGAGGGCTTACAAACTACAAACCTCAAGGTCATACATGGGCGTCTGCAGGTGTAGAGTTGAGAGCCTGGGATGTAGGATCCTGCGAGCTAGTGGTTGGGCTCAGGCGTCTGCATCTTCACAAGCGGAGGGAATCACATGTGACGAGTCTCTTGTTCATAAGCCACTCCCTGTGGCTATGGCGATGATTGGTCATGTATTTGTGCCACTCCAAAGACGAGAACCCCCTTTTTTGGACCCTAGCTGGTGGAAGAGCTCCTCCCTCAGCAGTAGGAGTTCAGACAGAAGCGCCATGGAGGGCTGCAATTGCTGCGCAGGAGCATAACTCTTGCTTTTACCACATGATGGTTCAACAATACTTCACCTACCCAGTAAGCTCAACCCCAGCTGGTAGGTTTGGAGCCTTGGGACCTTGCTTCTGTTTCATGATGTGATGGAAGGCACAGCTGAGGCGAGCAATAACCATGGCAAGCGCTAACAGCAAGCAAGCTCTCTCTGAAGATTGTGAAGACCTTACATTGCAAGAGAGACACAAGGTACCCAGGAAGAGGGGGAGGGAGAGAGAGAGAGAAAGAGCAAAAGCCCAAGTATGCCACCTTGAAATGACTCCCCTGAAATCACTGAAGCTCCAGACCCTCAGCCGCAAGACCTTTAAAGCCTGACATGTACTACAAAAGCATATCCAGGATATGATGTTGCAGTTCTGCACTGCCTACACGCGGAACAGACCTTCAGGGCTGGTCTTAGAGGCGGCTGTAGGGGAGGACGAGGAATCGGAATGCGCAGCAATGGTTCGTGATAGGCTTCAGGGTGTAGGGACTTCATCTCTCTTTGCGTGTGGCCAAGGGGGGGGGGTTTGAGGCACTCCTGGCTTCTGATTCACTTGTTGCTTATAGCAGGATCCCATTGAAGGCATACAACAGCATCCATGTGGCAAGAGCAGATACTCAGACACTGTTGGGGTAATATTGGGACAATAATGGAAAAGAGAATGGAAACTACTATGTGGTATATTGGGGTTTTTATAGGGATAATGGAAAAGAAAATCAAAACTACTTAGTAATGAACGACAAGAAGCACATGGATTTGGAGATCCAAGGACGCTTAGGTTGCACGCGTGACGCAAGAAGTTTTGCAAGACTAGGGTACGATCCAATATTGTCGTCTCCTCTGTAGCTGCGCAAAGAGGGGCTTCTGCCCCAAGATCCTGATATGTTATGAGGCGACTATTATTTTAGACACAGGCACCCACACCCAGGCACCCATGGCCACTTGGAACTGTAGGCCATAAGTCTGAAAAAAACAATGCTAAAGCGCACCTGAGCTGACAATCTCTAAAATCCTCCTGAATCCCATGCCTCCAAATTCTGGAAAGCCGTCCTCAAACCCGCTCCTACCCAGCAAGAGGCAAGGCATTCATCCTTGCAAACTTTCCACAACCTACTAGTTTGGACGAACAGCAGTGAGTCCTTGCAATGAAGTCCTCTTCGTTGGCGGCAGAAGGTGCGGCTGCAAAAGATCGTAACCCGGTACGTGAAGACCTGGTTTCTTTTGGCGTCCCGGTTAAATATGACGGAGTTTTGGACCTGAGTCCTTGGGCGTTGGAATACCACTGTGTAGAGCAAAGGGGGTACCATGCAAAAAACGGATCTTGTCAGAATCATTGCATAGTCTGCACTGCACTTCAGGTTTTGCACATGTTCACTGAACTGATGCGTCACAACTATTGAGCATGCTCACATCACAGTATATCGCAAGAATCCCACATACAGGCAGTCTTATGATTGAATATGGAGCCTTCAGCGGCTGGCACACTGAGGACTTCGTGACTCTGATTCCTTTCGATCTCTTCATGCCCCACGAAACTGAGAACGACCTCCCAGGCAACTCGAGCAGCAAAGCTCCCGGCCATTATGATTCATAGTTTCTCTTCCTTCGGGGGCTCTGATAAGGGGAATGTCAGGGCTCTGCAGGCTTGTTGGGGATGATGAAGTGCCGTGGAGGCGAGGAAACTCATCTTGTTTTTTGCAGCGTTTATCAGAGCCTTAAACATTGATTTATTGCCTGGCATTGGTGGGGCCTGCAAAAATGTTGGAGGACAGGTTTGGAATGTCATGGGTTAGTTCACAACCCTCCCGTCTAAACTTATTGGCTGAGGGCTTGCGTAAGGACATGTGACGTATCCCCCCCAAAACTCCATGCAACTCTGAGTTGTGAGGGGCTGCAAACGAGATTGAAGCAGTGGCGACATGATACTTTAGAGCCATCAGTTGCAGAGACCGAAAAGGCTTCGACAATGAAATTGGGATTTCGGATTTTGGCATTAGGCTTCCTTACGACGATCTGCGCAACGCAGACAGCCTAACCCAGCTCCACCGAGCATGATGGAAATAAGGAGAGCTCGCCTCCATCATGTTAAGCCTCAATGTCTGACTTCCCGAAAGTAAGAAAATCCAATCCAAAGCTCAACCACTACAAGGTCTTCTAGACGCTCTACTGGCGTTGACTCAAGGATCTGCTAAGTGACACTGCTCCTTAAACCACGCATGGATTCGACAAATCGTGGGAGTGCCTAAAACTGGCATCAAGTGGCTTGGACGTGACAATTAATGGCAGGCTAGCAGCCTAGCAAGACGAAGGATATTGTCTACTCAAGGCGTCAGAACTGCAAGTTGTAAGCTGGGATGCTGGCATTGGTACACTTTTCCCAGACATTCAAGCTGTAGAACAGTTTAGGCTTTAAAGCCTCGACCCACAACTTCAAGCTCTGCAGGCTACAGCGGTGTGAAGATTCTCCGCGCACTGCGCCTTCTGAAGCTCATACGCCTGGCTCGGCGATCCCTATGGATGGAAGAGCAGGAAGAGCCCTGAACTGCAGAGGAATTCTTTGCAGCCACGCTGGTAGGGGATCCTTGGGTTGTCCATGCTCAAGCGATTCAGGGATGTAGATGCAAACATCTGGAAGTCCAGGGAGTGCCAAGCTACTGCAGCGAATTTCTAGCCATGCTTGAGATGGAGTGCCGGTTTTGAGCCTACATGGGATTTGGGGCACGCATTTGTGTTCTCGGTGTGTCTTTCAGGTCTGGGCTCAAGAAGGGTAGATTCAGGACTATGTCTTCAAGCCCTGATACTTGAAAGAGCGGTCCTTGAGATAGACACCGTCAAGCCCTTGTAAAGATGCTTGGTGCTTGACACCTGGACCATTAACCCTGAACAGACACTTGAGAATCAAAGCACAGACGAAGGACCCCCTCCCAACCAAATGTCCTGAAACCTGAGGCCTTGCGTTCCATTCCCTACCAGCAGATTGCGCTTGCGCGCTTCCTTCTGGTCTTAGGCAGCTAGGGCCAGTGCTCCAGGAGTGTGATACTGAAGTTTGCAAGTTACAGCACTACAAGCCACAACTCTGCAAATGAAGCCTGACAGTTCAACCTCCGAAAACGGAATCCATCCTAGTCCGTCAACCCACGAACTGAGCCCTAAAGACTTACACTCTTCAAACTGGATCCTAGACCGTGTCACGCAAAGCACGAACCTTGCCATCACTCCCAAGACACCCAAGTGTGATGGCACATTGCTGTGACAACTGATGTACTCTCAAGACGACAGAACTTGCATAATATCTCCAAAGCCGCAGCAGGATTCCAAAGGAAGCATAGCTGTAGGTACATGTAGGGTAATCTAGTTACGGTTTAGACGGCTAAACCTGTTGTTCAGGAGAGAGAGAGAGAGAGAGAGAGAGAGAGAGAGAGAGAGAGAGAGAGAGAGAGAGAGAGAGAGAGAGAGAGAGAGAGAGTGAGAGAGAGAGAGCGC